ACGATAACCCTTTATCGTGTACAAAATCGTGTACACTCACATTAAAAAATATTGCTTGTTAGTTCAAACAACAGTATCGTGAATTCTTCCTGTGATAAAATGCACTGTGTATTGTATAACACGTTTCTGGAAAAGTGTAAACATACTTGGTACAATGTTAATTTGGTATTTGATCTTGTGACACATGAGCGGATAATAACAAAACAAGATAAAGAAAATATAATTAGACAAAATGTAAGTAGATATAAAGGACTCCTAAACCCCAAGCCAAAATTGTGTCTAAAATAACAATGTGCTTTATTTATGTGTCGGGTACCGTCTGTCCATAAAGGTAATTTATTATTGTAAAGTGTTTGCGGAGTGTCTGGTTGCATTCACTACATATCTATACTACCAGTATGGTAAAGTAATTAATGATGACAAAAATTCTGCTACTGCGCTTTAGTTCTAATACAAACAGGTTGAACGTAAGAACATAAATTACATGCATGCACCTTCCGCGAAATATCAACTTTATTCCAATGTATCACAATGACATTTTTATCGGCAATAAATTAATGTAAATTGTTGGTTAGAACTATGGTGAGAGAAGCCACATTTACAGAAAGTCGTGTGTGTGTTTTTGTGAACTTGAAAACATGATCTGCTGCGCAGAGCAGACAGCACGCCCGAGCTGCTCCGCCTGAAAAGACCAATTCACCGGACAGACTTAAAATTCCCTGCTACACTAACGCCACCTTGGCAGAAGCCCACCTTGTACCGGATTGATTGCTCAGAGTGAATGGAAGTCACGAACTGGTGTGGCATCCTGAAGGTTTACATTTGTCGATTACGATGGACAATCTCGAACGACTTATAGTACATGGAAATTCTGTGGCGGGGGGAGCACCTTACAGGGTACATGGATTCTGAGAGATTGCCAATATAGCGATATGCGCGAATCCAGTGACCATGGTAACGCCATATATGCATCACTAGTCATTTTGCAGTGGCCCCGCCAAAAGCAAACACATTGTAATAACCATTTGCCTACTGTAGTAGGCACTCCGTGATAATTCCCCCTGTGCACAACTGAACAGAATGCTTCCCGCCATCAGAGAGGGCTACAGACAACGTCCAGTGAAAGGTCAATGGACGTCGTCTATGACAAATCAAAGCAATTCGAAACTACCCCAAGAAAACAGTACAAAGAAAAAAACTTAACTATACGAGTCCCCCATATTAGAGCTCTCCTCTGTTTGTTGGAGTCTCAGTTGTACGAATTTTTTCCCCGTAATTGTTGGGTGTACAGGCACGCATTGCCGCATGCCTGCATCTTTGTTCCCTGTATCAGTTAGCAAAAACCGAACAAACCCGATAATTGCCAAGGCTACGACCATAATAATTAAAACCTGATTGTTTCAATTGAGATAGCCTTGCATCAGGTTGGCATTGAAAAGGACCTACATCATCAGGCAAGCAACTCTGCTTTTTTTAATTTTATTTTAATTCCTACTTGTTTTGCACAGACTAAGGCCTTTTGCTTCAAAACGTACGCATCTGACCAATCCGTAGTCCTTTGATAGCAGCTAATTTGATTTTTTAGCATTCGGGGCACGTGGTGTGTCTGGTTGAAGTTGGAGGAATTCGCATATGCAAAACAGTTAACCGTACGTTATTTATACTAAAATCACTGAACACATGTTTTAAACATCAGTGAAGACGATAAAACCAAAACAGAGCAGAAACAGAACAAAGAAACTTGTTACGATTTCATATGAAGGAATTTCCAAACAATTTGACCAACACTATATCAAATTTATGTGTAGACCCATCTCCGTGGGTGAAAAGCATTAATTTGTCGATTCACTGTCCGGCTTTTAAATGTATAAGCCAAATACCTAACGGTGAGTACATTTCCGACCTAAAATATGTTCTTTTGTCGGTTGAAACCTCACCACTGCAAGTCCACATGTAAGTAGGTGATTTCTATGGAAATGTGGCAATGCTGTTAAAAAATCAAATGGATTCAGTCGGTTAGGTCTTACAAGGCTGATGTAAGCTAGACAAATACCAAACATGAGGACGTTCATTTTGAAAGTAGCCAACTATTCTTCTTCTTTTTATCAACCCGATAACTAAATGCAATGTATTTCCAAGAGCACTTTCCTGTGCCAAATATGTGTCAGCCGATATCACAAATACGCGCAGGTGCTTAATTGGATGGGTCTGAATATATTAGGGGCCAAATGGCGTTGAACGTGTACCACGTCTCGGCTTTTGCGATATTTTAGGGTTGATGTCTCGACACATTGGCAAACTCGGACATTTGAGCAGTATGATCATGTCAGGAGCTGGGCTTTAAGCTCGTTCCCAAGATTGTCAAGTCCACACAACAAACTGTGTGAATCCTGTTATCTGCGCATTTTCCCCTAACTTTCCCAATATCATACTTTAGTTTTACCGGCAAGGGAACTATACACGGGTAAAGCCCTCACATAATTCCAGAAACAAACGTAAGATTGTCAATTTCAACGGAGCTGTATAGTTGATTCTTCAAGTCAAGAAATCGAAACTACTCTGAGAATGTACCTTTCAGACCATGGTTAGGCCCTTCTCAAGCTGGTTAATCAAGATGAGAGACTTCAGGTTTGAGAGTTGTTTCTGAATCGTATCGTCCCTCACATCCTTGGCAACAAGGGTATTTGGATATCGCTCGTTCAACCGCTCAGGTAATATTCCCCTGTCAACTAACCCCGGCGAAGGATTCGGTTTTAAGTCTTCAGTCAATATCTGGGTCAATCTTTCCAGACGGAATTTTCTTACCTTGTCGTTGGGACAGTGCGCCTAATCCATTCGAACCAGGGTCCCTTGGATGATGAAGGATCTGTTCCTAATTCCGTGAGTATATAGACCGTGGCCTTTCATCGAGTCGTCAATTATTCATATTTCAGGTCGATCATGCAAGCCGGTTCTCTGATGCGGCTGTAGCTACTGGCATAAAAGTTTCATGCAGAGCGATTTTCTCTACAGTTGTCAGTTTTCGCTCACACCCTAATTGCTTACATGAGCCATTTCGCAACGCATTGATAACGAAATGCTAGCCAACGTCGATTCAAGTTATTATAAGGTCAAGGAGGACTTGTAGACCGAAGAGCACGGTTTGTATCTTAACATGGACGTCATTTTGATCAGATTTACTTCTGAAATAAGAATGTGTTTTCTCCCAACTCTTGTCAAGCAATTTATAGTCTGTCATGCCAAGATCTGCCAAAAATGGTCCGCAGATGGGCTTGCGCAGTTTCGCCTGTTATAGGCACCCCCACCACAAAAAAGGTCTGGTACATAAAGATGGGCCTACAGAGTCAACTCCTGATTCAAGCAGGCCTAGAACTGTACCTGAGGAAAAACTGTTGTGGAAAGGAATACAGAACATTGTATAATTTGTGCTTTTAAGATATCAGTCATATGTTCACCCACTCTACCCAAATCGCTCATGACGCTGATGGTGAGGCTAACCGACGCTTGTGATTTCAGAATCAGAAGTTTTACAAAATTTGCAACATGACCCAAATATGGCAGTGTTATTTTTAATGAAACCCGCGCTCCAGAGCAGTTGCTTGTCATTTACAGGATTTACATGGCACCATAGGGCGTGGCAGAGAAAATAAGACGCGCATTGCTCTCCTTGTCTGAAATCCGACACAGTTGAAAATGGGAAATAAGAAAAAGATCCGATGTTCAAGCAAGGCGGATGGTTTTGTGCACAATCGCTGAGGACAGACCAGTGTCAGTGTCCAAAATATCGACTTGATCGTGAGCAACAAGTTTGTAATTTGTGTAAAATTACAAAGTTGTCGCAGGTATATGACAGTTACCTATTTCCTTCATATTGGCACCAACTCTGGACACTGCTCTTCCTCGAATCGTCCCATCTTCATTAAAAGTGATTAGATCGATATGAACAGCAATACATATTCCAATTAGTCTTGTGCATTGTCTTTAATTTGCCAATATCTGTTCTGGTTGAAATGTTTGAAGATTAAAAATTATTTTTCCGTCATTGGTCGACGGACAAGCAGACTGGCTCCTTGGCGGCAAAAGACCGTGAAATGTAATTACTGAATTCCCTCCGCCATGGGCTATACCAGTATTGCAGTGTTTGGAAAGTGGATGGAAATTATTGCTCCCGTCTTGAGTAATAAACAAAAACACTTAGTGAGCGGGTGAATCTACGGAGGCAAATGAGGGAATCCATTAGAATTGACACTACGTTTACGGGAGGCGTCTCATATTCGGCATTGCGACGTTTAATGAAGCTAGGCAATTCCCAATAGACGGGAGTGACCTCAATTACTTGCTTTCTATCGTACTCATAAAGGCTCGAGACAAATTTCATATGGAAGTGACTTTCTCTCTAGAAAATGAGAGAGAAAAAGAAGACCTCCTTGTCACTAGCAGTGAATTGACTGTGCGGTCCGTGCCACTGCAGTGTGTGTTCTACTGCTGCTTTGTATAGTATTCGTGGTAGCTCCTGGTTTCTACTTTATCAGTAAAACTAGTGAAAGCCTAGGGGGAAAACGAAATATGTGCACATATCCCGTTCATTACTCTTTGCAATAAAGCATACGCCGAATATCCATAGCTCTGTCTCAATTTATAGGGCTGCAACGAATGGAGAATTTGAAGGGATAAGTCTATGCAGGGACGTAAGTGCCCTTTTTTACTCACAACGCATTAGACAATTCATCTTTCTGCTTTGGAGCTTTGTATGAGCAACTTAACATTTAACGAAATGCCAGTTCAAAGTGGCATTAGGAGGATCCATTAACTACGAGCAGACAATCGTTCACTTTCTGGGTTCAACTGGATGAGAGGATGTAGAGAAAGCCATTTTCAATGGACATGAGGCGGGGCGTATCGATTGTTGCCGGGAATTTAATTGGGAAATTAATGAGACCAGAACGTAAGTGTACATCAACAGCCTTGACAGTGCAAAGAGAAAAGCGGTTGGTACTCACAAATTGCATGTAGTTGATTCCCTTGCACAGTCCCTCGCCAATCGGCATCCCGGCTATGTTTGCTGCGGTGGGAATGGCACAAATAGCTAGCATGGCCACATCTGTCACGGCCAGGTTGGCGATGAAATAGTTCGTTATGTTCTGCATCTCCCGGTACCGGAAGATGATGTAGAGCACCGTGCCGTTGCCGATCAGCCCGATGATGGCGATGATGGCGATGATGGTGGGCACCATGATCCGCACCGTGGTCTCAAAGGCCGCTGGAAAAGAAGCCGGTGGAGCTGGAGTGGTGGCATTGTCTAGACTGCCGTTGAAGTAGTATCTGGGAGAGCTGTACACGAGTAGGGGAAAATTGGTGTTCGCCATCCGGTCACTAAAGTTTGTGGGCGCGAATAAATCCACCACTGTGGTAGCAATGTCCGTAACGAAGACCGCAGATTCAGTCATGATGGGAAGGTCCTTGCAATACTGCAAGAGAGAGTGAAAAACAAAAGCGGGTACTTTTGGTTTTGACAATCCAAGACGAAAGTGAGGGGTGATGCTGATCAGAAAAATCTTACACTTTATCGAGTGGGGGACCGTTATGTCGTCTTTACGCCGGGAAAGAACTGTTTCAGTTCGGATTGATAGAGTACTTCTTCCTCACGAGCTTCTTTCTAGTATCAATCCGCAGCGCAGAATGACGCTTCGATCACAAGAGCGATTGATTTTGACCCGCTTGGTAAAGCCCGCCCCCAGTCTTCCCGCCTCTACGTCACTCACACAGCGCCTGCGGGCAAACAGGGGAAAATGTCATCAACGCCGCAAACTCGCGGTTTCAAAGGGATACGAGTATAGTGCAGGAGAGATCGGTCTGCGCGGCGGGCGAATTACCAACAGCCAGGGAGTAATAAGGGAGATCAATTGGTTTGGTTGTTTGTCCAGGTTAAACCAAGGCGAAAACGGTAACGTCTCCACATAGTGAATTGAGAAAAGCATGTGAACTGCGTCAACCAATTTTTATCTTTCTTTATTTCATTCGGGTCGTAAGACCCCTTGTTTTGAAACCTCAAAACGCAGAAGCTCACAAAACACGGGAGAAGACCTAGCCCAAAAGATTGTATTTATAACGCCTGCTGACTGGATGAACGTCAAAACAAGATCATTTATAGTATGCATTATAAGCTTTTAGCCAACCGCACCGTAGTGAAACCCTTGACAATGCATGTTTTCGCACGTCTACAGCACCAATCTGTCTATCTCTAGGAGACAGGGGAAAAGGAAACCCATGATGTTATTAGCTGACACTGCATTAAAACGTACCAATCTGAAGCACCAGTAAATGAATGATTAGACCATAGATCTATGTCGGTATGCCTGTTGGTATTAAAAAGGAAAACTGGAGTTGCGAAGCAAGATTTATAGAGGTCATATAACTGCTCTACCTGACAAACCGCGACACCAATTGCTTGACGGATGAATAATAGAAAAAGACTTTGGAGAACAAGGGCTTTGAAATGCATTCAAAGTTTTACTCGCCACTTGACCATCTCCAACAGGGAAACTAAGACGAATACATCGTTACTGGATAAAGACATCACTAATTTCTAACTACACACCCAACCGACAATCATTGAGCTCCAACACACACTAGGGTTTCTAGGATGCTGACGATTTTAGGTTTGTGACAACTCATAACGTGATAGCACTCGTCGTGACATTTTCTCATGGACATAACGACTGTTAACATGCACTGCAACAACAAGCACAGACGCAGAGATCCAGAGGGGATGGGGGTCACCCTCCCACTCATCCATGTCACTGCTATTTTGCTTTCAGTGAACTACGTTTAGAGGGTGGAAGACCCCCTAAAACATGCTGTTGGCCATGTAAGGTTCTTATTTTGTGTGCACGATTAAGGACAAAAGAAAGATAAAAGTTGACCTCACCAATTTGCATGAACAAGAACCCCCCCAACCTCCTTAGCCCAAAAAACCTGGATCCGCCCCTGAACAACCACGACAGCAGAGAAAAGACAACCATTACGATCGGTATACGAACTGTGATGATCATAACCACCGTGCAACTCTGACAGTAATTTCGACTCTGACGGCCATTTTGACCAATGGTCACGTTACGTATTACAGTCGCTACACGTGACGTAAAAATGTGTCAAAAGCACTCAAAAGGCATAACAGTAACATAACTTAAATCTCTTCTTTTAAGAACCCAGCTTACGAAGAGATCTGCATATGACCGTCAATCCCGGGGGGTGAGAGGTATATATCCCGCACACACTTTTTGAGATGGGGATGGGCTACTGAATCATCCCCTACACTTTTTTGTGGTGAGCAAAAAAGGTAAATGTATGGTGAACAATTTTTCAGACTTCCAACGACTAAAATGCATTCATTATAAGTCAAAAGAAAACAATTTTTTTAAAAGCCATAAATATATCATTCTGAATACTTATTACTGATGCGCATTAATATCATGAACATCGAATATCATGACATTTTCATGTCACTCCACCCACTTTTTCCCATTCCTTCCCCTCCCCCTCATTTCCAGCTCAGATTTACGCCACTGTGTCTGCACAGTGCTATCGCAGACCTTTGTCTGATTGGTACGTTCACAATGCAAACTTTCAAATCATATTCAACCCTATGCATTTAAAGATGCAATCTTAAAATGCAGCATTTCTTAACAGTTGCATTTGAAGACAGTGAGAACAACGGCCTAAGTTGTGCATACGGCAGAGACACCGACGGCGTAACACGATTATCTTCTCTTATATGAACTGTAAAAGCCGCAGTAATTATCTCTCTGATTAGCGTTTCCCCAATTATACCGAAGCAACAGCTTGGCTTTCTAAGCTGCATCTGGTGCTTGCATAGAAATAGCTTGCAACCGGTAGCTTTCACTGAAGCAGGCATGAATGGAGGGATTTCTTAAACACCAGATCGCACAGATCCACAAGCAAGCTTTATGTTGGATCGGAGCCTCATCTCTTAATTTCACAACCGAATCATGTAGAGTTCAGGGAGAGGGTTTCTGGCGTGGGAGTCTGATAGCGCCACCCCCTTCGGATTCGCCAATGCAGCCTGTCGATCGTCACGTTCGAGAGAGCTTGACTTCATTTTTTTCAAATCATTTCCCAGAATATGCTTGGAGCGATGAAATCGTATCCCAGTCTGATTCAGTTCACGACTGCATGTCTCAAGCGTGTTTAATTACCTGCTCCACATGCACCAAAAGCTTAAGCATTCAGAGCACCTGTACTCTTTTCCTGCCAAGTGCAGCCAAATGCACGTTGTTTTAGTAACTTAAAAAAATTCTCCCTATCCTGGCCTAGTGGTAGAAAAACCCTGAAATGCCCAGGAATAATGGCTCTAATGAAATCTCCGCCGGTAATTCTTGGTATTGTTTAGGGCAGAATATTCATTTCATCAAGCCAGCATACAATCACCATTCGATGCATTAATTTCTTCCGGGCTTCTGTGGAGAGAATGACAGGTGTTCGGACGTTGTTGATATTCAGTAATGAACGCAGCCGCGGATTGCAGTGTTCTGCAGTAGTCAATTCACTATGTATGCAGTAGTCAATTCACTATGTATAAGTATGTCACAAGGGTCTAGACCGCAGGAAAGAGAGGGTCTGATTTTATCCTTTTTACTGCATAGTGCATGGCCCCTTGAATACTTCGAGTTGCTGTACATTTCCCCACGGTTTCTTCAAGTCATCAGACCGAAATGTCAAACATCTAAGAGTTTCCTTATTTTTTTTAAGGAAAACAACTTTTCCCTTTGAATTCCCCACGCCACACTTGTCAATAACTAAATTGGATTTTGTTTTCTCGTAGACTCTTGCTACATTCTCCGGCAAGAGGACCTTCTGACTGGATTCTCTGCCATACACTCACGAAGAGACTCTTCAGTAGATTGGAAGGCTGCACCCGTCAAAGAGTACGTGCACACAACGTCCCTTCGTGCTAGGTAAAACGAATATAGTACGTACTTTGTTGAGAGCCAACGAATTTCCAACATCCTTGCAAAACCCACAACTAATGTATTCCATGTCAACAGAGGCATAAGGGTACAGTGAAAATTCACACAAGTTATAAATGGGTTGACTCCCAACTAGACCGAGTAAACGTAGCCAGGCTACGAAATCGGTGGACGAAATCACACCTGACAGGCTGACAAAAACCATATAACTACATCCCTTTCATAGATGCAGAGTATACTTGCGGTAATAGATCAGGCCATAGAGTACGAGAAGTGCTTTTTACACAATTTCAAACCATTGATTAAAGTGTCAAAAATGTTATTGTGATTATTTCAAATATAGGTGATGTCTAAAAACGTTTCACCTGAAATTCACAACACTCCTTTCCTTTAGTAGAAATTTGCTGGTTGTTGCTCCCGATAATCGGTACATATATATCATTATCCAATCCCCAGCATCGCTTTGGAAGAAACGTGCAGTATCTTTTTACGGGCACGTTTCAAGGCGCGCTCGCTCCCTGCTGTTTGCGTCGATTTCTGGCAAGGCTTTGTTTTCCAAAACAACAGGAAGTGTTTTGAAGACAACCTGGGCATCCCGGTAATTTCGTGCAATTTAAGGTGAGCGGGTAACACGTCACCTGACACCTTAGCTGTCAATGACACTCACCATCATAGACGGGAAGGTTAGGGGAAAGCAAAATTGAAAAAAAAGAAGGAAAAATAAGCTTCCTCTCACTGTTTTGCTTTGAGTTGTATTAAAATACAATGCACGTCTTTTTTCGTTATTAATAAGCAACTGTTGAAAAACAGAGATTCCAGCTTATTATCTCTGTGGGTAATTAGTCAAAGACCTGACCGACCAAAGTCCTGCTGCTGACAGGAAGTCAGTTTGATATAATGGTCTGCGGGGATTTTTCTTAAGGTTAGTTATTGGAGAGTTTAAATTAATTATACTCGAGCGATCACTTTCAATTGATCTAGACACTGATCAATGTTGAAACCTAAGGAGATTCAGACACCATCGTGCAAAAAAGGCAGACTAAGGAGGCTTCACGCTTTGTTGTTCCATCATCACATCTTGGGGACTATTTGCTTCGCATGATATCTTATGAATTGTAACTTTTGTGGATGAACGCAAACGTTAGCTTGCAACTCATCGTCAGATACAATAAGCCTTTTGCGAGTTAAATGTGAATAAAATCTGTTACTAAGTTATATAATTACACATAAATAAACAGTTTGAACTAGAAATGTGTCTGTGGAAAAATGCAGCTGCTTTGGCTTGGTTTCAATATCTGAAACCAGTGACGAACTTCTCGAAAAACTGCTTAAAAGATTTAATGACAAGCGTACATAGACGATACAGTACAAACATTTGATGTCACGTGACTTGTCACTTGACCTGTTACATGATGAAGACAACATCTCATGATGTCAATTTTTATCTGAAGCACTTCCCTTTCTGCCTAGTTTCAACCAAA